GGCCTTATGGGCTGTCACTTTTGGAAAATTAAATGTAAATTGATTTTTTTTCAAAATTGATTCTATGTTAATGCCACTACAGGTGTTTGCTAGTTAAATGACCTTAACAATGAATCTTTTAGGAAAGAGAGCATCCCCCCTATTTTGTAATAGAATAATTAATTCACTTCTCCCCTTAAGCTTACCTGTTTGGTAAACTTACATGTATAACATTTTCTCCAAAGTAAGGCTTATCCCAAACATGGGTAAAAGATTGGATGATAAGAATTGCTCTACTGGCCTTCTTCTAGATCAATACTTAGGACTATTAGGATCACCCAAATACAGTTGCCACCACATGAACTGAGTTGAGCTCTCAGTCTGACAACTTTATTACACACTTAAATTGTATTTATTCTAAGACTTAAATTGTAAGTAGGCAGGGATTTTGTCTTATTAATCTATGTGCCCCAATAAATATTTGTCAGATTGAATTCTCAGTTTTGTACAGTTGAAACAATGCCTCATCTTATTATATAGTTCACTTTAGCAGAACACTCTTTGATTTACTTATAGAGAACTAAAATTCATTTTAAAGAAATTTTTTAAAAGCCATATAAAAATTTGCTGAAGAGGAGGGTTGGTGGTGAAGCTTTCAAATATATCAATAACAATAAAAGCTCTCTGTTTTTTACATTTCCAAATTCCATAACTATAGGTATTGAAACTCAAATTGTTCTACATAATTAATTTCAGTCCTATATAAATATACTTGTAGATACTGTGTGAAATTGAATTTTTCAGCACTCAATTTAATCTATTTGAAGGATTAGAATATTTTGTTCTTAGTGTGGTGAATTGGGCAAATGCTGAGCCCAAAAGTTATTTCCACTGCAAACACTGCTTAAACCTTTAATTAGTTTAAACATGTTTTCTTAAGTCATTGTGATCAGTAATTAGAAGACCCAAGTCTACTTCACCAGCTAATCTTAGTATATAATTCTGAACAACTGAAATTTCAGGATGGCAATTTGACTTCAGAAGTCTGTAGAATATACAAGATTTAGAAAGTTTTGAATTGTCCAGAAACTCCCAGCTATCAATACAATTCAAAATGTCTATGAAGTTTTAACTGTTATACCTCATTATCAGTTAATTTGGGGCCAGGTTTCTTAGAGTAACAAAAAAGATTAAATTACCTAACATACATGCTAAACCTGGTGACAGTGTAGAGCATTATTTAACTTCTGAAAGTGATGGGGTTCAGAATATTTTATGCCAAAATATGGCACCTTGGCATATTGAATATTTTAAGCTGAAGGAATTTGATAAACGACAGGAAGTTCTCCCTGGCCTTTTCTCCTGAAGCAGGTTATAAGCCTCTCACATGGGAGGTGCCCTCCTTCTACCCTGAGGAAAGGAGCATTCTTACCTTTGAATATGGGACACTGAGGCAAATCAGAACTAACAGGCCTTCCTAGGCTTCCCCTTTATTTATTACACTTATTTTACACTCTTTGTCCTAACTGATTTTTCCATGACTTTCCACTTGTCATCAAACCTAGCATAAAAATGGTCAGATATAAACATTTCTTTGGGTCTTCACTTCTTATGAAGGCTCCTGTGTCACAAAAAAACTTACATTAAATAAATTTGTATGCCTTTTTCCTATTAATCTGTCTTTTGTTAAAGCAGCCCCAGTCAAGAACTTGGAAGAATAGAGGGAAAAAGATGTTTTTCCTCTCTTCTAATACTGAGAGTTAAGAATGATTTTCCAGCTCAAAAACATGAACCATAGAAGTACAAGATCTTGTTTTCATCTCCATTAATGTTTTATAGGCAGTTAAAAGATAATAAAGATGCTATTAATGTAGTAAGAATGCAAAATAAACTACATACATTTCATTCAGAGTTCTTTTAAAAAGTGAGTAATTGTAATGTTAAGGATTAAAACAAAAAGGATGATGAAAAAAATGTGAAATTGCAGAATTCTTTCCAAAGGAGACCCCATCATCAGTCTGCTACTGAGATGAGGCATCGGCCAATTTGCTCTGGTAAGGGAGGTGGGGCAAGCTGGAGGGAGAAAATGCTATCATTCTCAAGCAGCAGGGAAGAGGAGCTTAAGAGAGGTAAGACATGACTTTGCAAGAGGCAACAGGAAGGCTCTGATTAAAGAAGTCATTTTCCACTTTGTAGAAGTACTGAAGAGCCGGAAGAATTTAGAGTGTCAATGGAAGCAAATTCTCTTCAACAACCTCTGCCTCACTATACACCCAGATTAGGGAAATCTATTTACAACAATCAACAATAAAACTAGACATAGCTTTAAATTATGCTTTAAAATCTGTGGGCAAACAAAAGCCTGTTTATTAAAGAATGTGATAAAGAGTGAAAACACAATTTTATCCTTTTTAAAACCACTGGAAGACTCAGAAGAATAACAAAAAGAGCAACAGCAACAACTTGCATTGGTACAATTCCTAACAACGAACAAAAACTATTTCACACAGATCGTCTCAGTTGATTACTATAGCCACCCTAAATGTGAACAAGGCTAGCTAGCATTTCCATTTTATAGAACAGGACACTGAGGCTTTGAAGAGATTGTCAGTTGCTTTCAAAAAGATATGTTACACTTACTTTCAATTAAAAAAAATTTTTACCAAATTAAAAAAGAACCACATTCATAGAGCTAGAAAATTCATTGACCACAGCCTGTAACAGAAGCTACACTGCAAATTACATGGTATGCTCTTCCATACAGAGATTTTACGCCTTTAAAAAAAAAAAACAAAAAAACACACACACACACACAAGGCAGAAAGTTGAAATACCAGACCACCTGCTTCAATATCAGACATCTGGCAACGTCTAAGGTTAGACAGATAGTTTAATAGAATGAACCATTTATATATAGCAGATAATGATCTGTAACTCAGCCTTGCTTCAAATTCAGTAGGTGACTTTGAAGTAACCTACAATGTTTCCACAAACCTAAGAAGTCAACTTCTCTAGTTCTTTCTCTTCCTGATATCTTTCTGAATGTTATCAACTACCCAAATTATGATGGGATTGTGGATAAAGGAAAGTTATGAAGACTGCCAAGTGTAATGATGCTCTTGATTTATCACAAGGTACTAATTTTCCCATACTTTCAGATGCCACGCTAAGTTCATCCCTGAATGAGTGGATTTTGGCCCTGTGGATCTAGTCTAATTCTGTTGCTGGAGATTACATGAGAAGTAAGACCTCTATTAGCTTATTGAATGACATTGGGATATTTAAAATACGTCTGAGACAAAAAAGACTTGACAAAGTTTATTAAAACTCTTCTCACTGTTTTTTACTCACTAGGCAATGTTTATTACATTCAAGGAACTGAAGTAGGTAGGGGAAATGCTTGAAATAAAATTTTAATACTGATACTTTTTAGAAAGTTTTATTTATAATTAGAGTTTTTTTTTTTCTTTTTTTTTAAGACAGAGTCTCACTCTGTTGCCCAGGCTGGAGTGCAGTGGCACCATCTTGGCTTACTGCAAGCTCCGCCTCACGGGTTCACGCCATTCTCCTGCCTCAGCTTCCCGAGTAGCTGGGACTACAGGCACCCGCCACCACGCCCGGCTAATTTTTTGCATTTTCAGTACAGACGGGGTTTCACCGTGTTAGCCAGGATGGTCTCGATCTCCTGACCTCATGATCCGCCCGCCTCGGCCTCCCAAAGTGCTGGGAAATACAGGTGTGAGCCACCGTGCCTGGCCTAAGAACCTTCTTACAGCTGAAACCTTTGACTTCCAGTGTTTACACCTGGAGCATAGAAACTGGCCTATATTTTATTTTCTTCTGAGCTAAATGTATTGCCTTGAAAAGAGAAGAGAATATCTTAATCACAAACTTTATAAAAAAGATTGCTTGAGTGCTGCTATATGAACTTTCAGTATATTGTGTCCAGGAATATGCATGCAGTACTATTTCAAGTCCTCTTTACCGATAATTTAATGCTGCCTCTAAATTTAATGCCTATTGCCTTTTCACCAGAAAGCAGTTTTTACTGATGATAATGATGATGGTCATTAGGGCCTTGGAGACTTTTAAAAGGATCCAAGGATGAATGAATAAATAAAAACCATGATGACTCATTCTGCACCAAAAGCCATTAGTATAACGCACAGCTCAGCGCAGTTCCTCTTCCCCAGAAAACTGCACTATTTAAATGTATGTAAAAAATTTTTTAAACAAAATGAGTATAATTTATTCAGAGAATAATATAAGACTGTGGAATGTCAGCAGCTAAGTAGGCAAGATGCAAAAAGGAAATACATTTTACTAGGCTGATATTTTCTCTCAAACTACTCCTAGTAGAACAACAATCAGATTCCGTCTGGTCTGTTTCATTCCTTCCTTCCTGAATGAGAGGAGCTTGTTTCTGTCACATTTTCATTGCTTTCTTTATTTCATGTTTTAAATCTATTAGAGAATGTCCAGTTGAATTTCCTTGTAGTATTGTTTCAGGCTAAGTGAAGGAAAAATAAATGCTGGGATCTTAGAGCACCATCTTTTATATTAGTTAAATTAATAGGGATTAATCAATATTTCATATTCATATTCATGAAAATGTGAATGTGTAGACCCTGCCCTTAAAAACAAGCATATAGGTGTAAAGAGATGTGCTCTGAATCATTCGTTTTATGAAGACATATGTATCATTTCCCCAAAACAAAACCTGCCACAGGATGGTGTGTTATAAACCATTATGGCACATTTTATTTCACAAAGGATTAAACCATGGAAAATCCCAAGGCTATAAAAAGATTTATGCTAATCAGGCACTGAATTTATTAGTAGAGTCTCTGTTTTTCCCTTTATGAGCTATTTCAAAGCCATTGATAGGCTTTCTCATGACTTACATGATTAGTAACCATTTCTCTATTTTTCATACACCTACTTTCCCTTTCTTCTTGCAGTAGACAGTAGAGCAGTGAAAAGGACACTGAACCAGAACTCAGATAACAACGATTCTCTACCTTACTATCCATGAAGGAGGCAGGTGACTGATCTTGGAATCATAACCAGAAGCATCTGTGCCTTGCTCTCTTCCCTGCAATGTAAAGATAATAATACCACAATGTTGGTGGGACATAACTGTTATTATGTTGTTTAGCCTGCAAATAAACAATCAATCCCCAAAAGTCCTAAAGATAAAATGTTAGCTCTAGAAAGGTTTTTGCTTTAAACAAATTAAGTATATTAAAATCCGTATTCAAACAAAAAGATAAATGAGCAGGTAGTTATTCACTTTACTTTAGAAATATCTGATGCAGGAAATGCATTTTAAAAGTGAACTTCCATAAAATGTTCAACGTACAATTTAATTTGCAAATATTAAATTCAAATGCACCTATAGCAAGGTCTGACATACAACTGCATTTTAAAACCCACTGAGGGGCTTTGCATGCAATTTAGGCTAATTTGATAAAAGGAATAGTACATCAAATTGGGCTTGATTGTTCTGAATCAACTGTCAGTCAGTGTCATTTACATGAAGTTGGTCCAACAAAAACCAAAACTTTCATTGGCTTGGAAAGAGTGGGAACTTCCCATTGCTGCTTAAATTGGAAATTAACCAGTTGGTCAGCAAAATGTTCTGATTCTTGAGCTTGACTTCCATGATGAGAATGAAATGTGTCTCTTGGTTCAGAACCCTTGCTTTGGTAGCTAGCTATACAGTGAAATATGCCAAGTGCACACTGGAGTGTTTCTTTCTCTTAGCACTATGAATCAAAGCTCTTTCTGCAAAATGCTCTTGGAACATAAATGATGGAGCTTCCCTCTGAGTCAGAGCTGGTGTGGGGGATGACATTTTGGCTTTTACTTACGTGTGTGGAGCATGAAGTCCGATTTATATTGGGGTTGGTTTAAATTCTGTAAGTCATCTCTAAAGAATAGTATTCATGGCCGGGCGCGGTGGCTCAAGCCTGTAATCCCAGCACTTTGGGAGGCCGAGACGGGCGGATCACGAGGTCAGGAGATCGAGACCATCCTGGCTAACACAATGAAACCCCGTCTCCACTAAAAACACAAAAAAATTAGCCGGGCGTGGTGGCGGCGCCTGTAGTCCCAGCTACTCGGGAGGCTGAGGCAGGAGAATGGCGGGAACCCGGGAGGCGGAGCTTGCAGTGAGCCGAGATCGCGCCACTGCACTCCAGCCTGGGCGACAGAGCGAGACTCCGCCTCAAAAAAAAAAAAAAAAAAAAAAAAAGAATAGTATTCATGGTACTGTGTACACAAACCTATTCACTAACATGCATGTATGAATGTATAATGTGTGTATCATTATACATTAAACATGGTTTGGAATATAACAAAGAGGACTATCGAGTAGGAAAAACGCATTGCTTTAAACTCTGCAATCACTCATAGAGTAGTAAGAGGTTCACACAGAAGATATAAAACAGCTGAGAACAACAGTGGAAACAGTGGATTCCTATCTCTCATCCTACACTCCGACTGGATAAGGGGCAAAAGTCTCCCATGCTGCTTATGTTATTCTGTCTGTCTGATGAGCATATATGATGTTGCTCCACAATCTGTACCTTCCTTTCGCCTTTCGAATGGTCTTCTTACCTGCTTGCAGAAGTTCAGCATTACAATGTTGTATCTTTAAATAGAATATTCTAAAACACAATGGTGGAGCTTGGTGAATTTTACGTTCTTCCCCTTTCTTGTACAAGTACAGTTATCAGGTCCTCTAGAGTGCTATGTACATCAGGTAAGGAGGTAGAAGGTGACATTCATTGTAAAGAGATGAGGACTGATGCACTGGAAGCAGAACTGGATGCCACAGCTTTACATTCCATTTGAAAACCCTTAGCTTTCTTCTTCGAAGCAAAATGCTTCCTTTTAAATGGTTCATCTGCCGCTGCAGTGACATGCCACTTGGTTGCAGCCTCTCTGGGAAGACTAGGAATTACCACCACCGTCAGGATACGACCTGTGCCATTGCATCACATTTGTGTGGTTTTCCTAACAATAAAAGGCAACAATCTGGATGTTGATGTCAGAATGGATCTGCTAGTATTCCAGAAACATTATTAGGTTTACATATATATGCTAAGTACATATTTAGTAAATTAAAAATTATGTAATAAATGAAAATAGGTTGAAACACATAAAAGTAGTTCAGTTAATTAGCTCTTAATTAATAATTGCTGTCTATAATTGCCAATATAAACTAGGGGTTATAGATGTTTGCATTTTGAATAGTTCTTGTATCTTTATTCTAATATCTTTTGTAGAGTCAAGCAAGATAAAATATAAGAAATTATATATGTTTAAAAATATATGTGGGTATATACAAGTTGAGTATTTCCTATCAATAATACCGGGGAACAGAAGTGCTTCAGACGTTGGATTTTTCTGGATTTTGGAATACTTGGGAATACTTAGCATACTCTGGAATACCTGAGATGGGACCTAAACACAAAATTCATTTATGCTTTGTATACACATTACACACATAGCCTGAAAATAATATTTTATTATATACATATATATATATTTATTTTTATTTTTATTTTTTTTTGAGAGGGAGTCTCACTATGTTGCTCAGGCTGGAGTGCAATGACGCAGTCTTGACTCACTGCAACCTCCGCCTCCCAGGTTCAAGCAATTCCCCTGCCTCAGCTTCCCGAGTAGCTGGGACTACAGGCGCCCGCCACCACACCCGGGTAATTTTTGTATTTTTAGTAGAGACAAGGTTTCACCATGTTGGCCAGGCTGGTCTTGAACTCCTGACCTCGTGATCCACCCACCTCGGTCTTCCAAAGTGCTGAGATTACAGGTGTGATCCACAGCTCCTGGCCTAATATTTTATAATATTTTTAATAATTTTGTGCATGAAACAAAGTTTGTGTACATTGAACCACCAGAAAGCAAAACTGTCACTATCTCAGCCACCTATATGGACAATCTGTGGTTGTTTGACACCACTATCATTTCTGACTCTGAATTTACATGCTACCGACGAGCAATCGTTTTTTTTTTTCAAGCAATCATTTTCTTATATTTATTTACTGTTACAACAAGGTGTTTAGGGTAACCTGTACCATCATGTTGGTGCTGAAAAAGTTTTGAATTTTGGAGCATGTCGGATTTAAAATTAGGGATGCTCAATCTGTATGTTCAATTCAATATGTTATTTTAGTGCTTGCATGTCATGTAGCTGTAAGTGCAAAAATATGTGTCTCACCTGTACAGATATACTCATAATTAATTCCTAAAGCATACAGAGCATCATTTGTGGTAACTTAGTCTGTGGTGCCATTCTTTTCATTGATTAGTTGCAATTCAGGATAATTACAATAACTTGACTCTCAGAAACAGTTTGCTCTTTGTAAACCTTTGCATTTCTTTAAAAAATTTTGAGATGGGGTCTCACTATGTTGCCCAGGCTGGAGCACAGTGGCTATTCACAGGCACAATCATAGTGCACCGTAGTCTTGAACTCCTGGACTCAAGCAATCCTCCTGCTTCAGCTCCCAAGTAGCTGGGTCTACAAGCATGAACCACCATGCCCTTCTACCTTTGAATTTTATAAAGATTTTTATAAGAAAAGTGATCCTCCTGCCTCAGAATTCCGAACAGCTGGGACTACAGGTGTGAGCCGCCATGTCCCGCTACCTTTGCATTTCATAAAGACTTTTATAAGAAAAAAATAATACTTTTATATTATAAATGCAATTTGTTTTGAATGTATGAAAATTATTGCTTCTAACTGCTATGATAGGTACTTAGATTTGTTTCATCCATTAGTTGTAATGGACTTAGTCTGCGTCTAAATCTGCCTCAGATTTCTGGGATCAGTACAGAAACTAGGGCTATTTCAACAAGATACTTTAAACAAACTAGCATGTCCAAATGTGAATGTGTCACCTTCCTTACCAAACATATCTTTTTCACCTTGGGAAATGTCAACTATCAACTTAGTTGTCGAAAGCTGTAGAACTAGGTCTTACCTTTGACTCTTTTGTCTTATTTAGCTCCTTCTTTTCACCTCATTCCAGGCAGCCAACAAATCTTACCAATTCTAACACCTTAGAACCATTTAAATATGCCTATTTCTCTCTGTTGCTTTACTTTTTCCTTAATATAGGCCACTGTCATTTGTATGTTGCTTTGATTTCTGCAAAGCCTCCTAACTGGTCTCCTCAACTCCAGCCTTCTTCTTCAATCCATCTGCCACACTTCAGCCAGAGTAATCTTTTCCTTAAATATATCTGCCTTTTTTTTTTTTCAAGCTCTTGCATGCTTAAAATTATTCAATGGATTCTGGTCCAATGTCCAGACTTCTTAGCATGACTCATGAGGCCTTTCAGAATCTGTCCTGTATCTATTTCAACCAGTTCTGCATGCCCCACCCCTCACTCATTGCTGGAGCCACGTAGAATTAACAGCAATTCTTTCAGCTCTCTCTTCTCTCTAACCTCAATTTTGGAATTCTCTGTTCCGTTGATACAGAAGGTCCTGCTCCAACTCTACTTGGGTCAATCATGTCAATATTCCCAGAGGTTAGACTTATCTTTTACTGGGGAAGTCTTTCCTGACCATCCCTTGGTCTCCAAATTGCACTGTGTATGCCCCTTCACATCTAGTCAGCATTCAACAAATATCTCATGTGTCTTCCCTGTGCCAGGTGCTGGTTTAGGTGTTTATAATATGTAACAGAACAGAACCATGAAAATCCTCGCCTCCATGGAGCTTGTATTCTTCCAGTGTTATCGTGACAATTTATCTCACTATTGTCCTTATTCTCTCTTCCTCCCTAGATAAAGGCAGTTACTCTCCTGAGATTATTGTATTATCATGATTAGTACAATGTCCAACCAGTAAATATTCACTTAGGGAATGAATTAACTGAGAAAATGGGAAGCAAAGAAATGCCAACACATTATATTTCTTTTATATTAGATCATTATAATTATTTCGAAGCCAGGGAAAACTTGCTTAGAAGTAAAAGAATTTAAGCCTTTTATTTTAGTTGGGAATTTGATGAGTAGACATATGAACATGTCTTCAAAATTATATGTAACCCTCTCTCCCTCTGAATTTGCTTTCAATCACTGAGTCCTTTTATAACCTCTTTTAATTTCTAGGCCAATCTGCCCATTTCTGACCACCTGAGTCTATAATAGAAAAATCAGTATCAGTGATGGAAAAATCAGTATCAGGAACAGAAAAACTAGATGGTCCTCTGAAACAAAAATAAATTGAACACTAGGATTGAATATACAGTTTCTATAGGCTTGAGTTTACTTTGAGAGAAATGTTTTTCTTGCAAACCTAACAGTCATACTAAATTCCTAAACTGTGTTTCAGAATTCAAAATAAAAATCTAGGGCCGGGCATGGTGGCTCATGCCTGTAATCCCAACACTCTGGGAGGCCGAGGTGGGCGGATCACAAGGTCAGGAGTTTGAGACCAGCCTGACCAAAATGGTGAAACCCTGTCTCTACTAAAAATACAAAAATTAGCTGGGCATGGTGGCGGGTGCCTGTAATCCCAGCTATTCGGGAGGCTGAGGCAGGAGAGTCACTTGAACCCGGGAGGCAGAGGTGGCAATGAGCCGAGATCACGCCCCTGCACTCCAGCCTGGGCAACAAAGACTCCATCTCAGAAAAAAAAAAAAAAAAGGAAAGGGTTTTTAATATTTTCAAAAGCTCCTTGATTTCCTTTTTCTCTAGGGAGAAGGGAGGCCACAGTAATATTCTGGTATTCAAAAGAATACATCAGATGGACTTGCAAATTCAGGAGCTAATTACTTTTAAGATGATCTCAGGAAAAATTAAGGTGACATATAGAAGTGGGGTATCTAATATCATTATGATTCCACAATTCCTTTGCAAAACAAGTATGGTTTATATGTAATTTAAAAAAATGTATGTTTCTTACCTGCCTTCTAAACATACACATTTTTATTTAAACATCTTTATGTATGTTTTCACCCTCTTAGATACTTCATACTTACATATCTATGCTATTCTTTTTCAAAGCACTGTTGGTTGTTTCGTTTTTATAGAGATCACAAGTCCACTTGATATTAGTGACTTATACTTTCCTCTGCTTTGTGAGTGTAGGTAATAGCCTTTTTGTATACCAATTTGCTTACACTGCAGTTTATGCTGGTAGTACTGTACATTGCCTGACCTCTGAATGGAAAAATAATAACAAGTTAAAACAGTCATTTTACCTGAAGTCGATAAGGCCATAACACTCACCCTGTTTTCAATTCACATGCTCAATTTTCATCCACTCACTCTCGACTTTGAGAGGAAGGAATAATGACAGGTTACAGGCACTTTATTTCAAAATTCACTCACAAAGTTATTGACAAGCATTTTTCACAGAAACAGCTCTTCTCTCTGACCCTCGTGAGCTGTTTACATGAAAAATGCTCTTCCTTGTAGATTAATGAGAGTGGAACCTAATTCCATACCAAACATGTAGCAATTGCCTTAGCATCTCTGTTTTTGATATGGGAACAAAAGTAGGGATAATTTGCCTCAAATTGCAGTCGCTTCAGTCATAATAAAATCTCAGAGAGTACTGTTTGCTTTCAACTTTCATTAGGTAAGCTGGGGCTGTTATTAAGGTACCAACACATAAATGTTATATTAGCACTTAACAGAAGCATGGCATTCTCCTCTAGGAGATAAATTCTACCCTTGTCAATATAATTCCACACCGAATACAGTAAAAGAGTTGGAAAAGATGAAATAGTGAAGCTTTGCACACAAAAAAGAAATTCCTTGTTCATTCAAGCTTAAAGGCCATTTTGTTGGCCCAAGGTACTAGGGTACTGTTTAGAAAATAAGTCTAAGAGAAACTCTCTCAGGTCAAGTCAAACATGGAGACAAACTTTCAGACATGTTCTCTTTGTCTGAGGTTGTTAAATCAGTTACTTTAAATTTCTGCATGCCTTCAACTGGCATTTCAACTGTGAAGAGATAATAACAATTTAGGGTTAA